GGTGGCAGATAGCAAGCTAGTAAATTTTTTTTGTTTTTGTTTGTTTGTTTGTTTTTTTTTTTAATTTAATTTTTTTTGAGCATATTAATGGCATCAAATGATGTCTCAATGGTGAATGATGGTTTGGACAATGATTAACAAGAAGAGTTGCATCAAGTTTAATGGGTGGTGATATGGCAACATGTGAGATTGAATTGTAAAGATTGGAAAACTAATTAGCATGATAGCAAGTATTTCAAAAAATATAAAAGAGCTTGTTATTCCCTCCTTTCATGTAGCCATGAGCTGAACTACTAGAAAGCTGACTTATCCCACTCATGGATAAATGAAGCAGAGAAAAGCTTGATTGTTCAATTGGTCAAAGTGCCCCCAAAGCAGAGGTACTGGTCATGTCAAATAGGGATTCATCCTTAGGAGCAACAATATTCAGGTTCCCCCATGTTCTAGATTTGCCTCCTCATTCTAGATCCATATGCCTTGTGTATAGGTCCACTTCAACATCATATTTCGTTGAGCTTATAAGAGCATGTTGAGGTTGCCTTCTAGATGGATGATGCATTGCTCCAAAAAGAGAGAAAACATAGGGTGGTTGTCATGCCCAAATTTTTTTTGTTTTTTTGGTGTTTATGAAGCCTACCTACAAATAGAAAATAAAATAAAAATAAAGAAAGTCAAAATAATATGAAAAGTTATCCCATAATTTTGCATGATTCAGTGCTTCAACAATTGTTCATGGATTCACATATTGTCGATTTCCAATCCTCAAGGAGCCTCAGATGAAGCAAAATATCTTTAAATGCTTTGAGATTTCCATCAAACTCAAATGGCTGTAGCAAGGACACTTACAAGCAGTCCAACATGCATTACAAAGATGGTCATTCATTACAAAGTAGAAGCCTAGTACATCACACTAAGTACATCAACATGGTAGCATTCAAGTTCCTAGTAAAATCTAATTCCTAGATCTTTCAAAGTACAATTGTTTAATGAGAAGTTGCATTCCTTTCCTTGGAGAATCCCTTGAGTGTTGGAGTAACATAAATTGTGATGTGCTTGAGCTTTTGATCTTCAAGGCTGCTCTTGGTTCTTGTCCTTTTAAGCTTTCCCCTTGGACTTAGCAATTGTCAATGACAGGAGAAAAACGCTTGCAGTTAAAGATCTCCTCAATCCTCTGTCGATCAAAGCTTTCTCCACGGATGAACATTTTGAAGGTGTTTTGCCGAATGAACAATCGTGCTTGACCATGTATGAATCCATATTTCAATTGTTGAAGGTAGAGAATCAAACAAGATTATGGGAGTACAGTAGAAGAAATAAACATGGATGCCAAACAAGAAATAAAGTATGCAGGAACATAAATATGCTCTAAAGTGATAATGTGTGTGAAGTTGTATCCTAAACATGGTTTTTCTTCATTAAGTATGCCAAGCAAGTTTTAAAGGAGCAGTTGATGATTCACTATTGCAATCCATTAAATTGGCATTCATAGGAAATATCATTCCTTTGAAAAGAAAGCAAATGCTATGAAGCTTGAAGAAAAAGTGAATGGTGTAATGCTTGGAGAAAATGAATGATGTGATGCTCCAAAATCATGTGCTCAAATTATTTTGATGTCTAAAAGATGGACTTTTCATGAATTTATCTTGGAAGAACCTCTTTTTCTCTTTTCTTTTTCTTTTTACGAAGTTTGAAACATGCACGTATAAATTTCTTGTAGAAAAATATAAGATGGTGAGAACTTTGAATGAGAGTTTGGACAATTTTTTTTTTTTTTGAAAATCATGATTGAAGAATAAGAAAATATGAGGATCAAATTTGATTTTATTTTAAACATGAAATGAGCATGAGATGAATGTTAATTTGACATGGGATGGAAAATGTGATGTAAGGTTGAATATGAGTTGCAATGAAAAATGGGATTGAATGAGAACTGAACATGGACAAGATTTTCATTTTTATGAAATTTTTTTTATAAAGTGTGGGACATATAAGAAACATATGATAGATAGAGATAATAATACTTGAAATGAAATGTGAAATGCAATGCAAAATGCATGTGAATGAAATTTTGATTTTCATTTTTATGCACTTGTTTTTGAACTAGGAAATGGAAATAGTGATGGTTGAAATGAAATATGTGATGAAAAAAGGAATGTGAAATGAACATAGAAGAAATTTTCATTTTCATGCTTCTTCTTTTTTCTTCTTTTTTTCTTCCTCTTTTTTTTTTTCCTTTTTGCTAAATGTGAAAAGGATGAGACGAGAGGAAAACTAGCACTATGAATAAAATTTTTATTTTTTTTATTTTTCACCATTTAAAATTTTTTTTATGCAACTTTTATCAAATATGGGAAATATGAGATAGAGATAATAATGCTTGGAATGAAAATTTAAGATAGAAAATGCAGTATGAAATGCATGTGAATGAGATTTTTTTTTTTTTTATGCAATTTTTATATGAGATGGAAGATGTAATGCAATGAATATGAGTGGAATTTCATTTTTTTTTGTAAAATTTTGTGAAATATGAGATGAAAAATGGGATTTAAAAGGAGTATGATGAAGAATGCCCCACAAGACAAACATGAAAACATATTTTATGATGCATGAGATGGAAAATGCAATACAATGAACATACGTGAAATTTTCAAGACATATGGAAGATTTAATGTGAAATGAATGGGATGGATACATGACATGTGAAACAATCATGAACTCTTCTTCTTTTTTTTTTACTTTTTTTTTTTAATGCACAGGGTTGAAAGTGAAGATACAAAGTGCATGGAATGCACCTAACCTCAAGAATGATGTCTAAATGCAGAAGATGAATAACTAATCATACCTCGAATGTATATAAGAATTAAAACCTGTCATATGTGGAGACAAGGTTAGTGAAGTAAAATGCCCTTTTGTGTCTTAAACACGAGAGGCCTAACCTCACAGGTGGGATGCTAAGGAAACATGTCCTAGGGTTGGTATCTCTTTAAAGCTAATACATGTTTTCCTAAAGGGCATTAGGCTTTCTCAACCATTTATCCTTTCAGAATCAATGGGAGATATTTCCAAAAGCTAATACACAGAATGATATTACATCATCAAGTGTCATATTAACCAATGGAAACAACCTAACGGGAATTGATCTTACTCCTCAAAGCGAAAAGAATTGCTCGTCCAAGCCAGATTCATAAGGATTCCAGACTAGAGGTCAAGTTCACCTCCGACACGGACCTAATGCAAAATGAAGGTGAGTGTGTGCAAAGGGGCATGACACTTCAATAACTTGCATAATGGCAACCACAAAAAGCAACAACATATATCCCACAACAATCAAATAAAGCATGTAAAGCACTTAACAAATATATCATCCACAAACAAACCTACTTACACAACAGGAAAAGACTCACCTAGTACTCCCATGCCAAATGCAAAAGGTTAGTAACACTTAGCAACCAACACTTAGCATGCAACAAGATATAAATAATCACACAAGAGGGAAGAGACTCACTGAGTACTCCATAGCCAAGTGTAAAAGATGAGTATATCCACACAAGCAAGTAGACATGTAAGCATGATGCATGATGCATGATGCATGATGAATAAGCATGTTATATCAATGATACATGAGCATGTGAGATGATATGATGCATGTCAAGATGTAGCAAGATAACTACTCAAAGGCAAAACAATCAAAGCAACCACTAAAACAATGAGCAAACAAGCAATAGGCAACAAGCAACAAGCAACAAGCACAAAGACTAACAAAGACTCAACAAACAAAGAAAATCAAAAGTTGAAAATTCTCCCAAAGTTAAAGTATTGGCTTGACCCTAGTGAACCTAGAATATGGAAACCAGAGATTCTAGGTTCGGTTCCCCAGTGGAGTCGCCAATCTGTTGACGACCACTTAAGATTTTTTTCAAAATAAATGAAAAATTAAGTGTGAAAATATAAAAAAAAGGGAATCGCCACTCGTCCAAATTATAAAGTGGGATAAGTCACCTAAAATAAGTCTGCACAGAGATCTGGATTCAGGGTTCGGTTAAGAGTGAGGAATGGCATACGCGCACCTCACAATCCTTCGTTTAAACACGGTTGCATACTTTAAAATTGGGATTTTAATTCAACTTATTCATTATCTATTTACTTAAGTTTTAATAAGTAAGTTTTAATTGTGACATCTTTTAAACTTTTGGATTAAAATGGACAAAATCAAGACAAGCATGCATCCTAAGCACAAATAAAATTAAAGGGACCAATTTGATTAAATTCGAATGAAACTTTGGGACTGAATTGCTTATCATAAAACTTGTGGATGAAATTGAGATAAAATAAAAGATAACTTTGATTTTAACCAAGATTAAAGTTAATTAAATATTAAAATTAATTAATCAAAATAATTAATTTAATTAAATAACTAATCCGAACCCGACCCGGGTCGCGTACCTGAAAATGGTGGGTCAGTCTCCCAAGGAAGGCTGCTGCATACGCAAAGACTCGAACTCGAGACCTTACTTAAGCTGGAACAAGCCGCTTACCACTTGATCCAACCGCTCGTCGGGAAAAACACATCCTTTGAAACAGATAAAAACAAAAACAGATCAAATCTTCAACAAAACTAAAATCCAAAAGACATAAAGAGAAATTTAAAGTTCATCACCAATTACATCTTATTGCCAGTAAACACATTTAATCAATGTGCCAAAAAAAAAAAGATCAAATGTCGAACAGAAAGGGAATCTCGAAAGAAACGAAATGGAACTTAAGGCTACTATTCAGCTGTTCAACCAAAACAAACAAAGAAAAACAAACATTCATCCAATTGATTTCAGATCCATGAAATTAAAAAGAAAATGCTTGATTTCATTCGCGATATCAACCTCAAATACAAATGCAGTACATCAACACAAAGAAATTAAAACAACCATGGCGAAAGTCTGGGAGAAAACAGATCAGGATCGGAGGGAGGGATCCCACCCACGGGATCAAGCTCCAACCTTTCCTTCACCACCGTCCCCAAAACTTCCTCTGATCAGAAAGTTTACCTAAGACAACAAAAACCAAGGAAATGAACAGTCTCCTCCGGTGATCTCCTTTCTCTTGCTATCACCTCCGGCAATCCCAAACTTAGACCAAAAAGAACAACCAAGAGAACTCTCCCTTTTCAATTTACCGATCCTTCCTATTTATACCCCATCAAACAAAACCCTAACCCCCCCCTTTCTCTCCTCATCCAAACCCCTCAAATTTTTTTTTTTTTTTTACCGTTGATCGGGTGAGGCCAAAACTGGCCCTGCAGAACAGCCAAGAAAGCTGGGCGTGATGTCATCCTGCAGGTTTGTCTCATGCACAGCAGCAGGGTCAACGCAGCAGGGGGCGCAGAGCAAGGAAATCTGGGTGTGATCGGGGTGCAGGCTCGGTGCAGCCTGGGCGCAAAGGGGAAAGTGCAGGCGCTGGGCGCAGAGTGCAGGAGCAGAAGCATGCAGGCGCAGCAAGCAGGGGATCTGGGGCAAGGATGCAGGGCGCAGGGGCGCAGGG